CTTGAAGGAGGTACAAAAGGATAAAGAGGTGACTTGAAAATATAATAAAATTGGCACATAAAAGGTGTTTTTTTTTCTATAACACAGTTCCAAGATTAATAATTCATTGGCCCAATCACAAAATCAAAATGAAGTAAAAATCCTCTTAAGTGGGAATGTATACACATTATTTGATTATAATTCAGTAGCAGTACAATTAGAAAAAGTTATAAAAGTTGAAGCCTTTATGGAAGAATTACAACCATGTTCTTTTAGTAATTTTTGTATCACTGAGATATAGATTCATTTTAGAGTTTTGTTAGAGATTAATAACAATTAGAGATATATTAGGATATAGAAAAATCATTTACAGTAATCCAAATATTGATTATATGAAAGTGCCAAATAAAATTCAGTACATTTTGTTTGAAGTCACCAAAGGAAAACAGGAGAAAGAAAGCAAACTGAGAAATGTCTCTAAGGAAGCAAATAAAACTACAGTCGAGGTGATGTCACACCTGGTTTGGGTGCCAGAAAATGTGAAAACCTTAATCTAAACCTTACTTGTGGGCTGGTGAGATGGCTCAGTGGTCTAAGGCACCTACTAAGAACAAGCTGAGGCAAGCGCAGGGACCACAGTTCGATCCCCCAGCCACACATGCCAGCCAGCCCCGCCCCCAGGTGGGCTGAGCTGGCCACACACACACACACACACACACACACACATAAAATAAATTAAAAAAAATAAACCTTACTTGTATACCTTTATAACTCAATCTCATGGTGATAGTCTATTTTTTTAAAGAGAAAATCAAGAAAGTAAAATTTAGGGAAAATTAAAAAGTTTGGCCCAATGTAGGAATAAATGAGGAGAAAAGGGAATTGTGAGAAGAGGATAAAATGGGGTTAGGGCTGTGTTTTTGTATGAGTGATTTTTTTCCCCATAATTTTATTGAGAAACAAATAGCAATGAGACATTTTTAAACCAAATTGGTAGGACAGTTTCAATAATTAACACATTGCATACATTCTTCCTATTGGTTCATTGCTGTACAAGATGCGGACATGATATCCTATTTACAAACACCATTAGAACAAATCCCTCTATTCATTAAGAGAATGTAACTATATATCTATCCTAACCACTTTGAATACACAAGATACAAAATGGATATTCATCTGTATCCCCTTTTTTTTTGCTAAGTTCCGTTCTTTGAATATTATAGGTGTGTAAACTCAGCAAAATATTCTAAAAGAGTCCAGTAGTCCATAATAGTATTGGGTCTTCCGCTTGATTGGCAGTGTCAGAAATTGTTGACCTGAATCCCCTACAGCTCAACATAACACCATGGCTTTACTTCTTATATTTCGTTTTTATACTTTTCTGCTGGATGGTTAAGACCAAGGTAAAGCAGGACCTATGCAAAAAGAGTTGTAGTTTTTGGGTCTGATAAGGTCAGTGAAATCCCCTCAGGATTTATGCTGAGATCCTGTACCTCAGATTGTAGAACTTTTGTCAGTGTCAGCCATGTGGATGAGTCACGGCCATTGCTTGGCCAATGTGCTCTCTGTGAAAGCCTGAGAGAATGTTTTCTCTCCATGTGACTCTCCTTAAGCACACTGTATGAGTGATTTATAGCATGTAATAAACTGTTCTTATTTGGGTGAATACCAGGGTACCATATAACATTTGAATTAACTGGATGCGTGATTAATCTTACACTTTGGCAATTATTTTAAGGGTGGTATAAAAGATAGATTGGAGAATACATTTTCAGTGGTTTATTAATTAGATACCTATGGCGAGATAGCAGGAAGATACAAATAGAAAGGCCACAGAAAACCAGGACTGATACTTGAAGTGGTAGACTCCACGTCTGGATTTTCGTGCTGAATAAATGTATCGGAATTCATGAATATTCTAAATAAACTTAATCATTGGATTATTGTGTGTGTGTGTTCATCTCACTTTCAGGTAATGCATCTTGTGATTTACTGTATTAAGTCTTACCTCAACTCTGCTGCCTAGACCTTTGCCGTATAACTAGGGTTCCCTCTTTTTTATAACTGTGTAAATCTCTGCTACCTTGGGGCTATATTCCTTTGCTCTATCAAGAAGGAAATGGCAGGGTAGTATAGTTGAGTAGAAGCTCTGAAATTTGTTAATTTTGGTTCAGCTGGTATTTATACATGTCATTTACCGTGTGTTGACAACTACTCAACACTTCCTGTATTCTTTGTCTAGCCCTTTTGTTAAATACTGAGTGTGAAAAGACCTGCATTATAGGCATCCTAACAGTCACTTGCTGCTTAAGAAAGAAAACTTTGTGTCCCATTGTATGCAAACTTGCACTAAGAATGAAAATAGAGGAAATAATCTGTCATCCAACAAATAATAATTTGATTTTATAGACCTGCATTGACTTGAAAAGTTTTTCATATTATTTTTTGAGTAGATAATGAAAATTCATGTTTTAAAAAAAATTCATATGGTTGAGAAGCTTAAATGCTTCAAAAAAGTATCATACATTTTCCACCTGCTATTTCTTTCAATTTGCTTACCAATTCTGAATTGTGTCTTTTTTCTGCTCTTTTCCTTGTTTTATTTTACTTTGTATTTTTATGCGTGCATGTTTGTAGTACATAATGAATACATTTATCCTGGAAAGTTGGTACATGTATACATCATATCTTAGTGCTTTTTTCCTTGTCCTCTACCCCTCCTGTTCCTCCCTGTGTTGTATTTTGATGAACATGCATGGTAGGTTGTTTGCTGAAATTACACTGAATAATGTGCAAGAAAAAATTTTAAGTTATGTTTAAACACTTTTGTTGATTTTTTGAGGCAGGATCTCAGTATGTAGCACAGGCTGGCCTTTAATTTACAGTGATCGCCTGCCTTGCCCTCTGGAGCCCTGGGATTCCAGGCAATGCCGCCATGCCCACATACATTTAAACGTGTTTTAAATTTTGAGGTTTTTTTTTTTTTTTTTTTTTAGGCTTTTTCATACCAGGCGTCAAGCTCAGACCTTGCACTTGCCAGGCAGATGCTTATGTCACTGAGCTATCTCCCTAGCCTTTTTTTTTTTTTTTTTTAATTTGAAAAGGATCTGGCTGAGGCTGGCGTTGAACTCTTTGGCTCAAGCAGCTTCCTGCCTTGCCTCCTGAATGGCTGGGACTATACAGCACTGGCACTGTAAGTATCAGTGCCACTGGGCCCAACAAAGATAAAAAGTGTTCATATTTATAATAGTTCTTCAAGGCATTACAACTTGGCTACCGTCTTGTTGAGAAAAACATAGAAATTAAATTCAGGCTATACCAAAATTATACTTTAAATATAGGTGCTTTCTTAAACTGTTGATTGGTATTTATATATAGTTTCATCATGCTTTTGTATAACTTGCATCTGGTGTTTCACTTTCATCAAAGTCCTGTTAAGAAGGAATGATACATTCAGTTGTCCTCAATTTTCTGAGAGTACAAATTGAGCTTTATATGTTGCTTGTCAGATTGAAGTGTTTTGGCTGCGGAATATAGGACCTTTACACTAAAGCCAGAAGCTTAAGTCACTTGTGATTTCAAGTGGTTTATATCCATATTTTGATATTGTGTGTTTGTAACAAAATCATGCTAACCCTTAAAAAAAAAAAAAAAAAGCCACTGAAAATAGCATGCAGGTATGCATCACTATTAATAGTTCAGTATACCTGTTTTTTGTTTGTTTGTTGCTGGGAATCGAACTTAGGACTCATGCTTGCCAGGCAGGCACTGTACCACTGAGCTAAATCCCTGGCCCCATGTATACACCTGTTTTTTTTTTTTTTTTTTTTTTTTTTTTTTTTTTTTTTTTGGCGGAACTCGGGATTGAACTCAGGCCCTTGCACTTGCCAGGGAAGCGCTTATTCCGCTGGGCCATCTCCCCAGCCCCTTATACACCTGTTTTTAAATTCACATAAGTTTCTTTTATTTTCCTTCGGGGGAAGAAAGATGTTTATGTCCAGAGTTTTTAACAAAATGGGGGGTATAACTTAAATGTGGCTAATAACTTCAAGAAATGTTATGAATTCTTTTTCCTCTTGTGTGTACTTCGTTTTCTGTAACTCACTTTTAACTGTTTGGCTTCTTAATGTTGTTTCTTATTTGTTTTATAAGTTGATTTTTTTTTTTTTCTAAGTCACATTGTGGAATAAGTAAAAGCTTCGAGAGATGTACTTTAATTCTTCATTTACTCATTATCAGTGAATGCCAAGTATGTATTTCTAAAGCATGTTCACACTTCCCTAGTTTCTTTAAAAGAGACATATGTAGCACAGGGACATCTTTGGGTCTGCTAGTGGGTTGTCACGCTCCTTTATGTCATCTGAGCACTTGTGGTTTGGCTGGACCCTATGGCCAGCATCACCATTTATCACTACTATTCTTTACCTCTTTTTTTTTTTTTTTTTTTTTTGCCAGAGCCAAGGATTGAACTCAGGCCCTTGTGCTTGCCAGGGAAGTACTTATTCTATTGAGCCATCTCTCTGACCCCCTCCTTGCCTCTTAAAGGCATTATTCCCCTATCTTACTGGTTCATCCTTTTACATTTTTGCTTGGAAAGTAGTAGGTAATCAAATCTATGAGGAAGTAGGTATTTGCTAAGAGGCCTTAAGTCCTTGTGGGGAGCCTGAGGTATGAAGAGTGTAGCTGTAGTGCAGAGGCCTTTGACACATTCTTTTAGATAATCAGTGACCTTCACTTACTGGGGTTAATGGATCAGAGTATTGTTTTGATCTTTGAAAAATAAAGCTTTATTATAATTGTATTTTAAGGAAGAAAAGTTATGCTAATATTTTCCTTTGTATTGATGTTGCTCTAATTTACTTTTGCTGAGCTGAATTTAATACTAATCACTTAAAGTCAAATTTTTAATGCATATATGTTCTTCAATGAGTATAGCCCAGTTACAATAGCCATTTAGTGAAATAACTATAATGGAACTTTTCTTTTGAATTTGGCTTCTCTTTTTTTCTGTTTACCAGGGAGTAACTATTCCCAGTCAGAGGCGCTATGTGTATTATTATAGCTACCTGTTAAAGAATCATCTGGATTATAGACCAGTGGCACTGTTGTTTCACAAGATGATGTTTGAAACTATTCCAATGTTCAGTGGCGGAACTTGCAGTAAGTGCTCTAAATTCTCATCCTTCCACATGTTGGAACACTTTTCTTGACATATCTAGATGTACAGTATATGTAAACATTTAGAAAGAAAATTAACACATTTAAAATTTACACAGGAGATATATTTCTGAAGTATCTGAGTTAGCTCCATTCTTCCCCCTATAGGCTAACGAAGCCAAGAACAATGGATTTTAATGTTCTTGAAGCCAATTTATATTTGTGAAAGAAGTTTTTCAATGCTACTACCATGAAATTCAGCCTAAATTTTGGCCAGATGTCTTGACAAATCGGTCCCATCAGAGGTTCAGTGTGAGAGTGACAGTGATACTCATTATTTTATTGGTCTTGGGAAAGGGACCAATTCCTTCATTTTGAAAAGGGTAGATATTTACAGTAACGGTGTCAAGGGAGAAGTGGTCAGCCATACTAGCAAGCTCAAGTACACGTAGAGTATCCTTGAATCAATGTGTGGACTATTAGAGAAAACTTGGATTTAGGTCTCAACCTTAGTTCTAGATTAGTATTGTTCAATCCCAAATGTATCATCTACATTTCTGAGACTTTTCTGGAAAAGAAGTAAATATAGACCATGTCATTGATGTCTGCCTCTAATTTTTTTCTCTCTCATAGCCTGACCTCTGTGTGACTGCCTTAGTGATCTTAATCATGTTCTGCTTCTCTGGTATTCTTGGTTAGAGTTCTTAGCTAGACTGATAGGAATCTTAATATCTGGACCCAAAGCAGTTGATCATGGAAGAATACATTAAAGAATTATTATCTACTTCTATAAAAGATGAGACTTTTTTTTTTCTTCCTGAAGCAGAATTTAATAATACAGGAACTTAAATACCACATGGAAATGGTCATGTTTTTATTTTTAGGAAGTATGTTTATTAGAATTTAGATGATAATTGTATAGTTTTTTGATAAAATAACCATATTATTCTTTTAATACCTTTAATATTCTTTCAGTGTTACTGTACTTTGCTAGTGATTTTAATTTTTAGCTTTGCATTTTGAAAGTATGTAATTAAAGTTTTTTTATTCTGGTACTAGTTTATACCTTGAAAATTAATTTTCTGATACTGGTTTTGCCAAATAAATGCAATCATCCTCACCAGATCTTTAATGTAGTCTTTTCTTTCTTTCTTTTTTTTTTTTTCTTGGTGGAACTGGGGATTGAACTCAGGCCCTTGCACTTGCTGGGGAAGCGCTTATTCCATTGAGCCATCTCCCCAGCCTCTCTTTAATGTATTCTAATAGCAAGGCAACTTTATTTAACAAAGACCATAATTTTTTTTTTAATACAGTGTGTTAAAGGATGTGTAAGGAACTTCAATGATTGTTTTTTGTTTTTTAAATCTTGGTACAACTAAAAACATTACAGAGTATAAAGCTCGGGTGAACGTGATTGATAGAAACTCAACAGATTCATAAGGGAGAAAAGAAAAGGAATAAGAAAATGTTTTTTCTGTAGCATAGATATTGTAAGAGCTAAACAAAAGGTATTATGGAGAAAATACCCAAGAGAGAAAATTTACTTCAACAGTTTTATATAGTATAACTTTTTCACATTATCCTCTATAACAAAGCTTTCTTGTCAGTTTTACTCTGTCTGCCTATATTTAAGCCCTACTTTGTTTTGTTGGTCTCAGTATTTCATTTATATTTCGAGACTCAAAATTACTGACTATGCAAATAGTTTCCAGTTCTCTTTTCAAAAAATTCACTGTGATTTAATGTTATGCATTGACGCTTTAGTACATACAAGTAATTGTTAAAATGGTGGTAGTGTGTCTAAATTATGAATACTAATATTCACAAAAGGAAAGATTTAGAGGTTGTCAAACAGTCTCATGAAGAAAGTCCACCAGCTCTTCATTGAACATGAGAGAAAGCATGTAGCTTGGCTTGGTAGGCAATAACAAATGGCTTAAACAGAAGTGTTCCCGAAGGAAATGAACTGGACAAGGAAATGTAGAGACAACAGAATACAAATGAGATGTGTGACTGTTAGAGGACTTTAAATAGGGATATCAGAATTGATTTGATTTGATAAATACTATAGTATAATATTGGAGGCTTAACCCATGTTTTAAGGACAGTTGTGTAGAAAGTTGTGATTACAGGGGAAATAAAAAGGAAATCAGTGATGTGACTTGCCATAAGCACATGTGCTAGAGAAATCAAATAGAATTCATTTAGTTTTTATTTTGCTATTTATATCCAAAGATTTTGTCAGATGTTTGATTCTGTTCAAATGATGACTCATGGGAAGGAGAAAGAAAAGCCAATCTGAGATTGGGGTATGAATATTTTGGTGTTAAACATTTTAAATCTGCTGAGGGTAAGCTGTAGTCACTGGGTCTTTCAGTACAGGTTTAAATATAGATGGCAAATAGTATCTGATTTTTTGGAAGTAACAGGAAAGACATAGTGTGGAGGTAGAGGGTAGAAAGGATTGGAGGAAAACGGTAAAGACTGAGACAAGGTGAGGTGACACATTAGGTTTAGGATGCACAAGGGGAATCAGTGGGTGATAAAGTATACTTTGCAAAATTGTCAGGGGTTTTCAATCTTTTTTCAAAAATTACTACTGCTGCTGCTGCTGCTGCTGCTGCTGCTGCTATTCCTCAGTTTGAGAGACTGAACTCAGAGCCCTTCGTATGCTAAGCAAACCTTTTACTACTCAGCTACAGTCTCTAGCCCTTCTTTTCTTTTCTTTTTTCTTTTTTTTTTTTTTTTCGTGGAACCAGGGATTGAACTCAGGTCCTTGCGCTTGGCAGGGAAGCGCTTATTCTACTGAGCCATCTCCCCAGGCCCCCTTCTTAGTTTTTTTGACAGGGTTATGCTAAGTTGCTTAGGCTAGCTTTGGACTTGAGATCCTCCTGTCTCAGCCTCCCAAGAACCTGGGCTTATAGGCATGTACCATATTGCCTGGCAGTTGTCTTAATGTTCCTAAGTGAAGAAAGTTAATTGTGGTCTGTATATGTAAAATTGGTAAAAATGTTGAGGAAGCTGATCAAAGTGGTTTTCTGTCAGAATTATATCAATGTACATATATAGCTAAGAAATATAATTTTTATTTGCTAAGTATGGATCTTCTCATTTCTTTAGGCCACAGTCTTACCAAAAGAGATGGGGGGAAATATATATATATATATATATATATATTTTTTTTTATCTGTAAAATTGTCTTAATAGTAAAAAAGAATCATACTAATTTTGGACTTCTGATGAGTTAACAGCCTCTTGATCTAAAATTTGAAATTTATTGTAGGGAAGATTATTTTCCTTAGTGCTTTCAGGAAATCTTGACTACTTATTACAAGCTTTTAAGCTTAATTTTTATGGGCAGTTTTAACTAATACTGACTTTTTTTAGTTTTTGAATTATGTAATGATTATGAACTTTCTCTGTCTCTCTCCCTCCCCGCCCCCCTTTCACATGTTGGTAATACATAATGACCGCATTCCTGGTGGGGAGTTGGTATATGTATATCTTAAACAGTTCTAAAATTCTTGAAAATGTACATTTTTAGATGTAGTTTAAGTCAGGTCTGGATTATATTATTAATTTAAAAAATCCTATAATCAATCAGATTTTTGAATTAATCGCATTTAAGTTAATAAAATTATAAGGCTTTTTTTTATCCTGGTTAATTTTATCATAGCTTGATATCATGCCTTATTTATTTTCTGAATCAAGCTAGATTCCAAGTGAAACTTAAGTGTGTCACGTAAAGACTTACTATACTCACTGTACATTGAAACTTTACTGAAGAAAGTAAAATTTATTGACAGATGGTCAGTGTAATTTTACTTTTGGGAGTGGCTTTTTTCACGGTAAATCTCTTACAAATCTGTGTTAGAAACAATCCTTTGCTTTTATTGAACATATATTTGTTATAGCTCACAGTGCTTTAGTTGTTGAATAGGTAAGTCAGTAAGTATGTATTAAACTGACAGTTTCATTTGTTTGGCTTTTGTGTAGTTGACCATTTTCATCTTCAGGTATTGCCATGTGGTGCTGAGAATTTTATGTCTGATTATATACACTTCTGTTTTTAAATTCTTTAATATATTCCACATGAATTATAACTTTGTCCAGTTATCTAGAGAAATTAACTTTGAAGTTCATTATTTTTATGATTAACGTAAACTAGCAATAAATAAATTTGAGTAGATTTTATATTTATTTTTATGTATTTAGTACAGGGTCTATAGGGTCTCACTACATAGATCAGATTCAGCAGTCCTCCTGTTTTCAGCCTCCCAAGTGCTGGGATTACAGGGGTGCATCACCACATCCAGTTTCAATCGCTGTCTCAGTGCATCCGGGGGGTGGGGGCAGGCACAGAACACTGAGGATTGAACCCAGTCCCTGCGTCTGCCTAAGCAGGCACTTTAATCTGCTGAGCTAGCTACCTGGCTCTTGAGTAGATTTTAAATATAATTCTGTATCTTAAACCTTTTAGTTGGGGCTGGAGAGATGGCTCAGTGGTCT